AGGCGTGACCGTGTATGGAGCCAGGATACTGTGTTTCGCCCTTTTGTTCGTATCTCGGGCCTCCTCCTCCTCCTCCTCCTCTTCCTCCTCCTCCTCCTCCTCCTCCTCTGTTCCTCCTCCTCCTCCTGCTCCTCTTCCTCCTTCTCCTCCTCCTCCTCCTCCTCCTCCTCCTCCTCCTCCTCCTGAGTCCCTCTATCGCTTTGCCTAGTATCTCCTCCCCCTATCCAATTTACTCTTCCATCCCACAATCCCTGCCCTTCCCGTCCCACCCATCCTCGGGATAGCGCGCGGCCTCCGACGCCCTCCGCGCAGAAGCCACGGATGCAAACTATTGTCAGGGACACGGGCGGGGGGGAGCCCTTTCTTGGGCAAGCTGCTGGGTCTCAGGGGCCCGAGGCGTCAGAGGCGGCCGCTACAGCAGCAGCAGCAGCAGCAGCAGCAGCAGCAGCAGCAGCAGCAGCAGCCACAGGAGCAAGAAAGGCGTGCCTTGCACAGGACAGCAGGAGCTCCCAGCGGCATCACGACAGTCGCCACCAACAGCTCGTTCCAGGGAAGGCGGATGCAAGACGAGAGACCACTCAATTACCACCCCTCCTCAAGCCCACTGCCCTCCTCCTCCAGCAACCCACAGGTGCCGGAGAACGAGAGAGAGACGGGGGGGGGGAGCTGTCTAAGTAACCCCCCTTATCCCTCCTTCTTCCCTGCCCAGGCTGCGACTCGCGCGGTCGGCTCGTGAACCCCGCGCCTACTGCTGGGGGCGTGATCGCCGAGGGCACAAACATCCGAAGGACTGACTATTTCAACCCTGGCGTTGTTCGTTTACTCTGTCTCCGGGGGCCGGCTTGCGGGCCCCCGGGGCCGTCCGCAGCACATCCAGACGAAAACACGAACTACCACAGGCAAACATTGGGACCCTGAGATCCGACATCGCGAAACAGGTCATTGTGCAGGATCACGGCCGGTGCCCCCGACCCCATCTCTCTGAGGTATCTTCTCCAGCCGGATCGGTCTGTGAGGGCCCCCATGGGTGCCCAGGCCGGGCGAAAACGCGCGGCTGGACAAGTAGCAACGCCCAGAGATCAGGGGAGCTCTGGGGCCGGGGAGTGAAGACCGGGGATGGAAGCTTGGTGCACGTTTCTGATCCTGCAATCAAAACTGAAGGTACTGATGCGCGATGAGCATGGAAAGCCCCGTTGACGCCCGTGCCGAAGCTCTCCGAGCAGGGCTGGCCATCGAAACGGGTCAAGGATGGACCGAAGCAGCACAGATGCAGAGGTAACCTTGGGAAGGCTACCCGTCCTCATCATCGGTCTCGAATGTAGAGGACCGAGACATGGAGGCTTCGTGCTCGTCTCTGACCCTGCTGGGGCCGCCTGGGCCGCCGCCCGACGACGACGACGACGTCGACGTCGACGATGACGACGACGACGTCGACGTCGACGATGACGACGACGTCGACGATGACGACGAGGAGGACGAGGACGAGGACGAGGACGCGGCTCGTCGGCCGCGCGCCCAGGGGCCCGTGGGTGGTCCTCGAGCCCTGCCTCTCGGCCTTGCGCGGCCTTCGGCCAGGGACCCCCATGGCTACCACCTCGGCCCCGGGCGGTCTTCGGCGGTCCTGTGTGGTCGTCGGTGGGGTTCCCCGTGGCCTTCGGCGATCTCCAGCCGTCTCCGGCCCACTGTCGAACAGCTGGAAAGGACCTGGGCTCGAGACTCTTGAATGCGCTGCAGGGCCTCGTCTCGAGCCCGCAGGATGCTGAATACGTCTCGAAACTCTGGCCAGAACGAACCCTAACACCTAACAGAGGTCCGAACGTCGAAATTCCTGAGGGAAAGTGGTCGACGTATTCTTAGTTTTGGCGTCTTCGTTCCGAGTCTTTGGGCGGTTTTGGAGATTTCCGCCTCAACGTCTAGACGCAGCGAAAAAACTGGCCAGGATGGACTCAAGGAGGGCTCCCAGGACCGATTCTGAGCGTTCTGGCTCGGATCGCCATGGAGAAGAGGGGTCCTGAAGGAAAGGGGTCATGAGTTTCGTCGTCGCTTTGGGCCTCCAGCGTTCTTCCCCAGTCCCCAAGGCCCGTCAGAAGACGACTCAGGACAATGAGCCCGTCTAAAGGAAACCACAGATCAAACAAGAACTTGCGTCGGATCGGGCCGCATCGACAAGGAATCGGAATCTAGTCGGATAGACCGCGCCAAGAAGAACAACGCCGCCATGCAAATATCGGGCCGCTTCGGATCGCTGGAACATCGGAATCGAATCGGATCGAACCCTTGCGGAATCGACATCTGATCGGATCGATCGAATTGGAATGAACCGTGAAGGGGCAGGGGGTGACGAGAAGAGGGGAGGACAAGGAGCATCCTACTGCCCTTCCTCCTCCTACTCGTTTAAGCTCAGACTCTCGACACAGACGAGGAAGAGAGGGAGGAAGAGGGCACAGACGAGGGCACAGAGGAAGGATAAGCTTAAGCATGATCAGCTTGAGCAGGGGAAGGTCTTGGAACGATTCGCAAAGCACAGCGTGCTGAAGAGGAGCAGGAGAAGGGATGAGGAGGAGGAGGAGGAGGAGGAGAAGGAGGAGGAGGAGGAGGAGGGAGGATTAGCAGGAACAGGAAGGAGGATCTGGATAGCCATGAGGAGCTAGCCTGCTTGACAGTCGACTTCGGGAGACTGCTACATGCGCCAACGGCGGCTCAACTCTGCGCTACGATATGTATCCGCCGGCTGGGGGCGTCAGGCTGTGTGGGTTGCTGCTGGGCTGCTGCCTTGTCAGATGTGCTCTCTTTTGATCGAATCACTTGTCCCTCCAGTCCTGTCTGCTTTGTACTGTCTCCCCAGAGGCAGAAACACCCGCGGAAACGTACAACTAAAATCCTGGTCGCTCCAGGCTGCCCCGAAATTCCCGTAGGGACGCCACCGCGCGGTCAGGAAGGCCCAGGAGGCCTGGAGGCCAGCCCCACGAGGCTTTGAAGAGAGCCCCAATAGTCCAGGACGGCCGAATCCGCCGACCCAGTCGGCGTAGGTGACAGGCCCTGCGACGCGAGGCAAGCCCAACCCAAATTGAAGTACGCCAGCCTCCTTTGAATCGTCGTCATCGTAAGGAAGATCGGACAAACAAGGGAGATCGAACAATATTGTAATTACGTCGATGGGAAGCCTCTTCCCTGTGCCCCTTCCCCGCTGAGGGGGGGCTCCACAGGGGGCGTGCGGGGGGGGTCTCGGGGGGTGGTCCCGGGGGGCTGGGGGGATTCCCCAAGGGGATTGTGACCCCTCCACCCCTTCGGCTTTCGCCTCCCAGACGCCCGCCCTGGCCCTGGCCCCGTTCCAGAGAAAGTTTTAGACAACTGGACGGTGCAGATCCCAACTAGACGGTCCAGATCCCAGCCGGTAATGAAACCAGAACGGTCCAGATCCCAACCGCTCTTACGTGAGCCTCCAAGCGCTTGAAGCGTTTGGAAAGCGCTACATCGGAGCCTGATACGCGTTTCATAAGCGTCTACTTCAGAGCCCCTCCTCGGCTTCGTAGAGTATTCGTGAGTTCTTCTACAGGTTCCTGAGGGATTCCTGGGAAATCCTCGGGATGTTCGAAGATTCTTGAAGGTTCCTCCGAAGTTTCCTGAGGGATTGCTGAATGACTCTTGAGGGATACCTGAAGATTCCTGAAGTACCCCTGAGGACTCATGAAGGAACCCTGAGGGATCTGAAGGATTCCTGAAGGATTCCTAAGGATCTGGGAGGGATTATTATCATACCTACCGGTATGAACTCGCATTGAACTATTTCGACCGACTGACCGACCGTGCCTGGGATGTGCGCTGGACTGGGATGTGTGCTGGGATGTGTGCTGGGACGTGTGCTGGGACGTGTGCTGCCTTCGTGTGCTGGGATGTGTGCAGGGTTGTGTGCTGCCTCCGTGTGCTGGGATACGTGCTAGCATGTGTGCTGCCTTCGTGTGCTGGATACGTGCTGGGGTGTGGCGTGGGTGTACTGGGTTATTTGGGCCAAGATGTGCGCTGGGATGCCGACCTCGTGTGCTCTGCCTATCCCCCCGCACTCCTCCGCCCCGTGGCCCTCGTTTGCTCATTCCGACCGACCGACCGTGCCCCCCCTTGCTAGACCGCGCCCTCCCGTCCCCCTGCTCCGCCCCGCATCCCTCCGCCCCGTGGCCTCCGCCTGCCTCTTCCGACCGACCGACCGACCGTGCCCCGTCCCCTTGCCCCCCCCCGCGCCACTCCGCCCCGTGGCCCCCGTTTGCTTATGCCGACCGACCGACCGACCGACCGTGCCCCCCTCTTGACCGACCGTGCCCTCCCGCCCCCCTGCTCCCCCTCGCACCCCTCCGCCCCGTGGAACCCGTCTGCTTATTCCGACCGACCGACCGACCGTGCCCCGAGAGGGCCCTGAAGAAGCCTCCAGACGCCAAAAATCGATGATTCCCATAAGTTCTCGACAAGTTTTCGTGCCTTGCATGTTCGGGCTCACGGAAGCCCAAGACGGCCCAAGACGCCTCAATGATGTCCCCAAGTCGGCCCAAGAGACCCCCTAGACGGCCCCTATGATGGCCGAATGAGCTTCCAAGACAGCCCCAAGACGGCCCAAGAGGACCCCAAGAGGTCCCCAAGACGGCCCAAGAGAGATCCCAAAGACCCCCAAGACGGCCCAGAAGGATCCAAGACGGGGCAAGAGAGCGCCAAGCTGGCCAGGATGGCCCCAAGATGGCCCCAGGATAGCCCCAAGAGGGCCCCGGGAACCTCCGAGACGCTCCTCGGAGGCCTCATGATGGCCCCCAAACTGCTCCCAAGATAGCGACAACGATGGCTCAGCCAATGGGGGCCAGCGGCAAAGGGCCAAAACACCTCAAATGTGTCGGACAAAACGCATCGCCGTTTCATACCAGACGAGTCCGCTCAGCCGCCGCCCTACCCTAAGTTCAGCAGTAGCTGTGCTTCTTTCGTGCGCAAGGTGGAATCACATTCAGAGAACGCGCGATGTGCTACTGGCCGCGGTGCATATCCTGCACGAGCCCTTGCACAAATCCCATCATCTTGCTCAGATGTTGATCCTGGCGGTCCAGGCCGTGCAAATGGTCGTCCAGGACGCGCACACGGTCGTCCAGGAAGTCTATCTTGTTGATCAAGGCCTGGAACTCCTTGTCCTCGACTCCAAGCACCCAGTCTCCGAAGGACCCGAGCACCGCAGCCGCGCCCGCCAGGCTCAGAATAGTTTTCTGTATAAGCCCTTTGCTCAGGACCAGGGAGCCGCCGACGGACACGCCGAAGCCTCGTCCCGTGTTCGCCTGCGCCATGACAGCCTCGACGGCTGCGACCTGAACGTGCAGTTCTGGACTGCGGCTGCGAATGTGCGCAAGTTTGCTCTCTGCCGTCTCGAGAGCTGCTGAGGTGCGCCGCGGAGCGGCGGCACACGCGACTGCTGCGCCAGCCGCCTTGACCAGAACGCTTACAAAAGCAACCAGGTCAGGCATCATCAGCTGAATGGCTGCCTGGGAGGTGCTGCGGGAAAACAGCAACTCGGCATGTATGATCCGCCAGAACGCCTGCGGCGCGTCGGGCGTGTCCGAATGCCAGGCGGTGCTCTGGACACTCGTCGATGCTTTCCTGGGACGGCCCCCGTTTTCGCAACTGGCGTGGATCGGCAGCCCCCCTCTGTGCCATGTCCGGACCGCGTTCTGTGCCCGGGAGTCCTGCCGGTGACTCCAACGGCCTCAAGATGGCCCAAGATGGCCCAAGACAGCCCCAAGAAGGACCAGGACTGCCAAAATTGGCCCTGGGATGGCCCCAAGAAGCCACAAGAACCTCCAAGGTAGCTCAGCGCGGAGTGCGCCAGAGAGGCAAGACCCAGCAGAGTTCGATGGGTGTTTGCATTATCGTTGGGATCCCTGACTTTTCAGCTTCACGGGGCTTCAAGATCAGCTCCAGGGACCTCCGAAGCGGTCCCAGAGGCCCCCAATAATTAGCCTGGCGAAGGACCAACCGTATGCAGTTGTGAATTCCGTCGTTGTATGCACCGCATTCGGAGGAGCTCCCTATAGGGCCACGAAACGTCTGAGGGGCGTGCCACAATTTATCCAGTGGGCGCATGCGAAAGCAGCCACTGGGGCCGTCGGTGGAGCTCCCTATGGGGCCACGAAACGTGTGAGGGGTGTGCCGAAATGGGTGCGGTGGGCGCATGCGGGCGGTCCCCCTTGGGGCCTTCGGTGGAGCTCCCTGTGGGGCCACGAAACGTGTGAGTGGTGTGCCAAATTAGGGTTGTGGGACGCATGCGGGCGGTGGCACTGGGGCCGTCGGTGGAGCTCCCTGTGGGGCCACGAAACGCGTGAGGGGTGTACCGAAATGGGCGCGGTGGGCGCATGCGAACGCAGCCAGTGGGACCTTCGGTGGAGCTCCCTATGGGACCGCAAAACGTGTCATGGGTGTGCTCAAATGGGTGCGGTGGGCGCATGCGAACGCAACCACTGGGGCCGTCGGTGGAGCTCCCTATGGAGCCACGAAAACCGTGAGGGGTGTGCCGAAATGTGCTTAGGTGACGCATGCGGGCGGTGGCACCGGGGCCTTCGGTGGAGCTCCCTATGGGGCCACGAAAGGTGTGAGAGGTGTGGACAAGTGGGTGTGGGGACGCATGAAGGCTGTGGCACTGGCGCCTTCGGTGGAGCTCCCTATGGGGACACGAAAACCGTGAGGGGTGTGCCAGAATGGGCGTGGGTGACGCATGCGGGCGGTGGCACTGGGGCCTTCGGTCGAGCTCCCTATGGGGCCACGAAACGTGTGGGGAGGGTGGGGATATGCGTATCGGTGACGCATGCGGGCGGTCCCCCTGGGGCCTTCGGTGGAGCTCCCTATGGGGCCACGAAGGGTGTGAGGGTGTGCCAAATTGAGTGTGGGGGACGCATGCGGGCGGTAGCACTGGGGCCGTCGGTGGAGATCCCTGTGGGGCCATGATGCGTGTGATGGTGTGCCAAAATGGGTGTGGGGTGACGCATGCGGGCGGTGGCACTGGGGCCTTCGGTGGAGCTCCCTATGGGGCCACGAAACGTGTGAATGATGTGCCAAATTAGGATGGGGGACGCGTGCGGGCGGTGGCACTGGGGGCTTCCGTGGAGCTCCCTATGGGGCCACGAGACGCGTGAGGGGTGTGCCGAAATGGGTTTGGGGGACGCGTGCTGGCGGTCCCCCTGGGGCGCGGGCGGTCCCTGGGGGCTTCGGTGGAGCTCCCGATGGGGCCACGAAACGCTGTACTGGGTGGGTGAAACGCAGGGAGGAGGGAGGAGGGGGGAGGGGGAGGAGGGAGGAGAGAGGAAGGAGGGAGGAGCGCGGGGACCGTCAGTTCAAAACGAGGACCGCACACCACAGGATGGTTGGAACAAACGAAACAAGGCAGAAGAGGATGTCAAGATGGTTCCAAAAGCCCCCGGCTGATCTCCAAAGCAACCTCAAGAAGGCTACACTCTTACATCAGACTGCTCCCAGACCCACTAAGGGACCCAATCTGAACCCAAGAGGCACCGAGAGAGACCCCAAGAAAGCCCCAAGAGAGCCCGCAAAAGGGCCCCGAGAAGGCCCGAAGACGACCCCGAGTTGGCTGTGAGACGGGTCCATGTGATCGGCCACATGCGTGTCCAGACCAAACGCCCAAGCACTTACTGGTCGAGAGATTTGCGCGCTAGCGTCCCCCCTGGATGTGGAGAGTCAGACTGGCGTCAGCTGTCTGGCAGGAGTGCAGCTTTCCACGGCCATCCCCCACACACACACACACACACACACACACACACACACACACACACACACACACACACACACACACACACACACACACACACACGCACACGTTCTCGGGGTACGCTTACCCAGAAAGCCACTCTGAGTGTTGTTACACTGCGCCCATTTCGGCATCTAGGCGGCTCCAAGACGGACGTCACCCAGAGGTTCCAAGAGATGTCCCCACGATGTCCCAAGAAGCTCCCAAGGGACGCCAAACGTGGCCGCCAGCGACTCCCAAAGATGCTACAAATAGTGAACAACCGATGGACAATGCATGTGCGTTGCTTCTGGTACTTTTCGGTTGCAGGCGGCCTCGAGTGCAGATCTTTCGTCAGTATTGCGCTCCCCGCTTCTTCGATTCAGCCCTGCAGCGCCACCATGCTCTTTCTGCATTTACCTAACAGCGAAGACTGATAGGTTTCTAGTAGGCTCAAAAGAGAGCATCTTGACTCCCCAGGGGGGTCTGGGCAGATGCCGGACGGGTGCCGGGGAGAATCCGCGGAAGTCGTTTTAAGCAAACAGTTACACACTTCGTGGTCTTCGAGGTCCCAGAACTCCATTCCCGGGCCACATTCTGAATGCCCGGAGCCAACTGTAGGCCACTTCGTGCTCTTCGAGTTCCCAGAACTCCATTCCCGGGCCACATTTTGAATGCCCGGAGCCAACTGTAGGCCACTTCGTGGTCTTCGAGTTCCCAGAACTCCATTCCCGGGCCATGATTTTGAATGCCCGGAGCCAACTGTAGGCCACTTCGTGTTCTTCGAGTTCCCAGAACTCCATTCCTGGGCTATTTTGAATGCCCCGGAGCCAACTTGTGGCACTTTCGTGTTCTTCGAGTTCCAATAACTCCATTCCCCGGCCACATTTTGAATGCTGAAGGCAGGCTGATGCTGAGGCTGATGCAGGCTGATGCTGAGGCAGGCTGAGGCTGAGGCCGAGGCTGAAGGCAGACTGAGGCTGAGGCTGAATCAGGCTGAGGCTGAGGCTGAGGCTGAGGCAGGCTGAGGCTGAGGCTGAGGCAGGCTGAGGCTGAGGCAGGCTGAGGCTGAGGCTGAGGCTGAGGCCGAGGCTTAAGGCAGACTGAGGCTGAGGCTGAAGCAGGCTGAGGCTGAGGCTGAGGCTGAAAGCATGCCTGAAGTCTGAGGCAGGCTGAGGCGGCTGAGGCTGAGGCTGATGCAGGCTGAGGCTGAGGCAGGCTGAGGCTGAGGCCGAGGCCGACGGCAGACTGAGGCTGAGGCTGAAGCATGCTGAGGCTGAGGCAGAGGCAGGCTGAGGCGGAGGCTGAAGCAGGCTGATGCTGAGGCAGGCTGAGGCTGAGGCTGCGGCTGATGCAGGGTTAGGCTGAGGCAGGCTGAGGCTGAGGCCGAGGCTGAAGGCAGACTGATGTTGAGGCTGAAGCAGGCTGAGGCTGAGGCTGAGGCAGGCTGAGCCTGAGGCAGGCTGAGGCTGAAGCTGATGCAGGCTGAGGCTGAGGCAGAGGCTGAGCTGAGGACTGAAGCAGGCTGTGCAGAGGCAGGCTAAGGCTGAGGCTGATGCAGGCTGAGGCTGAGGCAGCCTGAGGCAGAGGCCGAGACCGAAGGCAGACTGAGGCTGGGGCTGAGGCAGGCTGAGGCTGAGGCTGAGGCTGAGGCAGGCTGAGGCTGAGGCTGAGGCTGAGGCAGGCTGATGCTGAGGCAGGCTGAGGCTGGGGCTGAGGCTGAGGCAGGCTGATGCTGAGGCAGGCTGAGGCTGAGGCTGAGGCTGAAGGCAGACTGATGCTGACTGAGGCTGAATCAGGCTGAGGCTGAGGCTGAGGCAGGCTGAGGCTGAGGCTGAGGCAGGCTGATGCCGAGGCAGGCTGAGGCTGAGGCTGAGGCAGGCTGATGCTGAGGCAGGCTGAGGCTGAGGCTGATGCTGAGGCAGGCTGAGGCTGAGGCAGGCTGAGGCTGAGGCATGCTGAGACTGAGGCTGAGGCAGGCTGAGGCTGAGGCTGAGGCTGATGCAGGCTGAGGCTGAGAGGCTGACGCTGAGACTGAGGCAGGCTGAGGCTGAGGCTGAGGCCGAGGCAGGCTGAGGCTGAGGCCGAGGCAAGCCGAGGCAGGCTGAGGCTGAGGCTGAGGCTGATGCTGAGGCAGTCTGAGGCTGAGACAGGCTGAGGCTGAGGCTGAGGCAGGCTGAGGCTGAGGTCTGAAGGCAGGCTGATGCTGACAGGCTGAGGTTGAGGCTGAGGCTGATGCAGCTGAGGCAGGCTGAGGCTGAGGCCGAGGCTGCAGGCAGACTGAGGCTGAGGCTGAAGCAGGCTGAGGCTGAGGCTGAGGCAGTTTGAGGCTGAGGCTGAGGCTGAGGCAGGCTGATGCTGACGCAGGCTGAGGCTGAGGCTGAGGCTGATGCAGGCTGAGGCTGAGGCAGGCTGAGGCTGAGGCCGAGGCCGACGGCAGACTGAGGCTGAGGCTGAAGCAGGCTGAGGCTGAGGCTGAGCAGGCTGAGGCTGAGGCTGAGGCAGGCTGAGGCTGAGGCTGATGCAGGGCCTGAGGCCGAGGCCTGTGACTTCGACTACTGCCGTTGCCTACTGCGACTGTCATCGAGAATGCGACTACGACTGCGAGAACATCAAATTATTAACAACTGGATTCTCATTGAAATCTTAAGGGGAATGCTCCCAAAGATATGCTCTACACATCGCTGTTAGGTGCTTTGCGGATAATTATTATTATGTACGTATTGATGTACTTGCTTACTTGTTCCTCTATATATATGTGTGTAAATACACAATATGCGCATATGTTTATATAAATATATA